TGCTTTTAACACTGCGACCTTGGGCTACTACTTCCTTAACCTCTTAGAGCCTGGAATCCTCATTTGCAAAGTGGAAAAAATGAGAGCATCTTCCTAGCAGGATTCTGTTCTAAGCAAATGATCTAAAGGCACATAAAATGCTGAGCACAACTCTTGGCACACAGTCAGCCCTCAATAAATCATAGCTGCTTTATGATGAAGGTGACAGAGGCAGGGAACTCTGTTCCGTCCCCAAACAAGGACCTGGCCCAGGCTGTGTGCAAGCGCCCTTCTCCCATCATTCTCCCGGCTTAGATGGAAAAGGAAAATATTGTCTTGTGTGAATTCAGGAGCCAAGTTAAAGAATCCTGCAAATGAGCAGGGGCCACCCCCTCCTGGGAAGGCTGTTTCCCTAACCCCAGGGCCGGGACGCTGTGTCTGATAGGGTGTTTGCCTGGCTCCTCACAGCCCTTCCCCTGACCCAGGGACGGCCTCTGCCCTGGGTGAGCCCTTCTGTTCTGGGAGACTGAAAGCTTTCCCGTCATCCTGTGCAGTCCCAACCACGATCACCAGAGCCACAGCTACGTGTGGTGGGAATGGGGAGCTGGCACCCCAAGTTCACAGCCAGACCTCAGTTCCCTGAGCCCAGCCTTCCTCCTGCCGAGCGATGTGCAGCAGGATCACAGGAAGAGCCAGCTTGGTAGAATATGCAGAGAAGCCCTAGCAAGGGGACAGCAGCACTAATGACACACACACACACACACACACACACACACACACACACACACCCCGCCAGCAGGTAGGCAGAGCCATGATGATTGGCAGGCCAGCTATTGGGGAACCATGAGCAGAGGAGGCAACAGCAAGGGGCTCCGGGGCCCAGGGCGGGCAGAGTGGGGAAGGGATCTGAAGGGAGGGAGAGAGGCAAAGAGTGGGCCTGGAAACCGGTGGTCTGCAGCCCAGGCCTGCTGTGCCAGGTACCCCCTGCCCCTCGAGCCTAATTGCAGCCATTGCTTCTAGGGTTGTGACCCCAGCCCCACAGAGCTGGGGGCCCTGTGGAATGCCTACCCTCACGGGATGACCCTGGTGGGAGGAGGGCGGGGAGCCACACACGCATGAGCCTCTGGCTCCCTGATAACCCGGAGCCAGGCGGACTGCAAGCTGTCACTCAGGGCGTGCCTTCAGTGGGGTGAAGGGCAGAAGCCCAGCCTTCCCACCTCCCCATGTTGCTAACTTTAGTGCCACTTCTGTCAGCTCTTATGTTTGACGTCTGCTTAGCACTTTGTAAATGATCCCCAAATTGACGAAGGTCTCCTTTGGCAAGCTAGTGGGTCTCGGGGGAGTGTCCCTGTCGGGGGTTACCTGTGAAGTGCAGGGCATTTAGCATCTCTGGCCTCCTGCCCATCACCCTCTAGAATAAACCTATCTATTCACTACTGTGTCCCCTGTGTCTGGCACACACCTTGCTCTTCTTATAGCATTTCCCAACCCTTCTAGAAGGTGCCCCTGCTCCCGGCTGAAAACCCCTGGAGTAGCCATACCATTCAGCACCCTGATGGCAGTGCTCCCCCCACTGCACCCCCAGTTCTGAATACATGATCTTATCAGAAGTTGATTGCCACAGGGCAGCCCTGGGGGAGGCAGATCCTTATCCACAAAAGCCACCTCCTACTCTGGCCCCGTGGCTCATTGGTTAGCGTATCGAGTGGAGTCTGGCACCCCGTATGGAACGGTATGTCTCGCGTGTGGCCTGACCCTGCAGGACATGTGCTGAGTTCCTCCCGCCCTGGACAGATAGCGTTGCCGCCTATGGCCTGATGCTGCGTTTGCTTTTCTTTTGGCAGCCACCTTCATGTTTGTTGATTTGTGGTCACCTAAAACCAAGGACTTTCCCCTTTGGTCCACTACTGGTCTCTTCTAGTCCAAAGTTACTGGAAGCCTCGAACATTGAAAAGACACTCAAAGCTCATCAGCTACGAGTTGGCCCATAGCCCCTGTGCGCAGGTCTGGGGTCTCAGTAGTGCCTTTGTAGTGAGTGAGTCCTCTTCACCCATCCCTGTCCTTCATTTTGTACCTTCTACACATGGGACTGGTCAGCCATGGACGGTCTCACTGTGCCACTGATTAAAATAATGTAGAGGCCAAGCCTTGGGCATGATCAGAGACACCTCAGTCTGGACTGATAGTGTCCAGGACTGCTTGGCGTGGCTTGTCTGTCCTCGAGTGGACCCAGTGATCCCAGCTCCACCCCACATTGCTCTGTCTTGTTCACAAGAGTATCTCTAAGTGCATCTGTCAGCCGCCTCGCTGAAATCTCGATGGGCGGCATTCCACAGGACTTCAAGGCTTGGAGGAGATGCAGTCGGCTGAGCGTGACTTGTTCTTGATGATCTGTGTGAGCTTCTCCTGCCACCACTTCCTCTGCGCCATGTTCCAAACGTCCTGTTCTCTCCATTCAGCAGTTTCCAAGGGTTCAGCTTTGCCTTCTGGGTTTCTAGAGTGTACCCTATTCCTTCTTGTGAAAATAGGGACAGTTTGTCTAGGGGACATCTTTTCTGTTCCCCATGATTCCATAGGGGTAACCAAAGTGGTGACCCAGTGTCATCGTTGATTCAGTTTCTGTTGAAAGGTGTTCTTGCACATTCTTTTCATCTGTTTTACTTCAGGCCATCTGGTTTAATTAAGATCAACATCAGCTGGGCACCGTGGCACCGGCCTGTAATCCCAGCAACTCAGGAGGCTAACGCAGGAGGATTGCAAGTTCAAGGCCTGCCTCAGCAACTTAGTGAACCTCTGTCTCAAAATTTAAAATGAATAAGTAAAAAGGGCTAGGGATGTAGCTCAGTGGTAGAATGCCCTGGGTTTAATCCCCAGTACCAAAAAATAAAATATAAAAGATGGATGTCAGGTAACGTAGTGGAGGCAAGGGAAAGGGGTGGTTCTGGCTCTCTCTGCCGTCTGTTTAGCGTCAACACATGGGACTCGAGTTCTTCCTCATTCTCTTGCTCCAAACATTTACGTTTAGGTTTTTCAAAAACCTTTTGGGGGGCTGGGGATGTGGCTCAAGCGGTAGCGCGCTCGCCTGGCATGCGTGCGGCCCGGGTTCGATCCTCAGCACCACATACAAAACGAAGATGTTGTATCCGCCGATAACTAAAAAATAAATATTAAAATTAAAAAAAAAAAAAAAAAACCTTTTGGGGCTGGAAGTACAATAGTAGAGTGCTTGGTCCTGGGTTCAATCCCCAGCACTGGAAAAAAAAATGTTCTTTAAAAAAAAAAAAAAACAACCACTTTTAGGATGGTCTTGTTTAGTTCTCCTGATGGCCTGTTTGTATCTAAATGCCCTCTGGTTATTTACGTGTCCATTGCTGGTCCAGCTAGACCTCAGGCTCTGAGGACAGAGACCTCCCTGGCTGAAGTCAGTGCACCGTCCCCAGTTCCCACGTCCCCTGTGAGGATGCTTCTCGGCCTTCAGGGATGATCTGGAGTGCAGGAGGAGGCAGGGCTACCAACACTATGCGGTTTGATGGTGCGTCAGGCAGGCGCGTCATCATGGAAAATTCTTTACGGAGTGTGCAGATCCATTTACACGGGCCTCGCTGCTTCTGCAAACTGCACATTCCTTCAGATCAGTCCACCGTTGCCTCTTCCCACCAAACCTCAGTCACGCCTCAGGGGGGTTAGAATATGGTTTCAGGCCTCACTCCTCTCACTCCCCGCCACCGTCAGCTTGGTTTTCATAGGGAATCTGGCTGGGTTCCTGGTTTCTTGTCTGGGCTGGGTCATCCTGGGACTCCCTTTGGGTGGCAGGACTCCACCCCAGATTTAGAGCCCTTTTTAAATTTTTTTTTCTTATACTGTAGATTGAATCTGTCGATGTTCTACCACTGAGCCACATCCCCGGCCCTCTTTATTTATTTTATTTTGAGACAGGTTCTGGCTGAGTTGCCCAGGCTGGTCTTGAACTTGGTGATCCTCCTGTCTTAGCCTCCCTAGTTGCTGGGATCACAGGTGTGTGCCACCATGGCTGGCATAGTGCCTCTTCTTATGGGGCTTCTGGGGCCCAGGCTCTGGCAGCCAACGGACCCCCACTGGTGGCTGGGCTGAATGACGGCAGAGCTGAAGGGCAGGGGTGGGGGGGTTAGTTGATTGGAAACCAGTGTGGTTCCCGTCAGGATTCCTGGAGCAGATAAGGTCTCTCCCTGGCCTTCCCATGGACTTCCCAGGTGGCCTCCCACCCGCTGTCAGAGCTGCTAAAGCTCCATGAGCAGTCACCTTGAAGTGTACTCCCTGCCCTTGGACCTACCTGTCCCTGTCCAGACAGTTGGTCAGCCCAGGGCAGGGAGGAAGAGAGTGCCCACCCCCCAGAGTAAATGGGAAGGGGTTTCGAGGCACAGCTGGTTTGCATACCCTCAGGGGACAGATCAAGGGGGCACTGAGCTGGATCTTAGCAGGTATCCAATGGCGAGTTGAAGGATATGGGGGTCCCTGTTGGAGGTCCCTCCCAGGCAGGGACCTGGCCTCTGCAGGTGAACCATCTGTGGAGGGCTGGGTGAGGTGTAGGGAGGTCTTATGTGTCTGCATCACAAGAACTACCTTGGTCACACTGTTCTACTTTGGAGAGGTAGAATAGTCCAGTGCTTCTCAAAGTGTGGTCCTTGGACCAGTAGCTTCAGCGCTACCTGGGAACTCGTTAAAAATGCCCCTCCCCAGAGCTTCTGAGCCAAATTCTGGAGGTGGAGCCAGCAGTCTGCTGAACCGTAGCTCTTCAGGTGATTCCGGCACACTAGTAAGTTTAACTTCGGAGCCAGAATGCTAGGTATGTGGCCTTCAGCCAGTAACTTAACCTCTCTGACTCTCTATTGAATGCCTCATCTATACAATGGGAACACTTCCTGCCACCTTGATATTGTGGCGATAAAATGAGAATGCTTTTAAGGAATCCAGTGCAGTGCTGTTACTCAGAAAGCGCCTTTTTAAGCATGGCCTCTGATTTCATTGTCACTGTCTCTTTTTAGGTAGTTTCTAATGCTGCAGAGCAGGGCGTGGCCATCACAGGGAACCAGACCTTCAACAACTGGAACTGGCCAAATGCAATGATTTTTGCAGCCACGGTCATCACCACCATTGGTAAGTTTCCTGAGACCCTCAGGGTGCCCTCACTCTGCCCTCACTTCTCGGAACCTTAGAGGAATCTAGTTTTGGTGATTCACCTGCATTGGGAGTAAAATCTGGCCTGTTACACTCTGTCCTTTCGACTACTAAGGATTTAGTGTCCCTGGTGACTGTCAGTGGCTACAAGATTGTTTTCCTGGGTTCTGGACTGAGCCTTTTCAACAGAAGCAGTGACACAGCCTGGTGGCTGAGCCATGCAGGAGACCGATTCTCTGTGGCTCCACAGCCCACCACTCCAGAAGTTAGGGGCTGCCTGCCATGTGTTCTCTTCCACCACCCGGGGTTGACTAGGTGCAGCTGGCCACTTCTTGCTCACTTTGTTGTGACAGTCAAATGATGGCTGCAGCAGGCGTCCTCGAAATGCCCAGCTGGCCTGATGACCCAGATGGCTCCTCCCAGCCCGTGTCCCACAGCAGTGCTGGCTGACAGCTGGGAGCTCAGCAGGGAGGAAACGAAATGGCCCCTCCGAGTGGCTCGGGATCTCAGTGTGGCTGAGGGAGAAGCTCCTTAGCCTCCAGCCCACCCAGCAGCACTTCCACTGCTTCCTGTGGTCAAGCTGAAGCCCTGAATCAAAGGGAGAAGGAAGGTCCCTCCTTGATGGGAGCAGTTGCATAAGAAGGGTGGGGGGGGGACTGAATGTGGCCATCCCCAGAGAACGTACACTGCAGTTCCTCTGGGGTGTCGGCCAGAGGGGGTGATCCCTCTAATTTGCACAGTGCTACCATGTGAACTAGTGGAGGGCCTGCTCTGGGGGCGGCCTATGCCTGCCTGCAGGCAGCTCCAGTGGGATGGGGACAGAGCCATCACAATGGCAGCACAAACGATCATGGCCAGAGTGGGATCAAGGAAAATGTCATTACTTAAATATTGATGTTAGATCAATATCAACTGGTCCCAGAGAATGGGCTTCCCACAAGGGGTGTGTGCGTGTGCGTGCGTGCATGTGTGTGCATGAGTAGGGGGGGTGGGGCCCACTCTGGGGTGGGAGGCCCTTCCCCCTGCCATGCCTGTGACCTTGTCCTTACTGTCTCCTCCCTCAGGTTATGGCAATGTGGCCCCCAAGACCCCCGCCGGGCGCCTCTTCTGTGTCTTCTACGGTCTCTTCGGGGTACCTCTCTGCCTGACCTGGATCAGTGCCCTGGGAAAGTTCTTCGGAGGACGTGCCAAGAGGCTGGGCCAGTTCCTCACCAGGAGAGGCATGAGCCTGGTATGTCCCCAGTCCTAGGAGCTGGCAGAAGTGAGGGGACTGTGAAAAGGAGGGGAGGATAGGAAGGCTTCAGGAATGGGAGGGTGGGCACATGGTGGTTTTGGTGATCTCTGCCCACTGTGTCAGGACGGGAGCATCCCTCCCCCTCCCTCCCTGGGGAGCAAGCCTCCTGGACACGCGGCCAGATGGCCTCTCCTAGTCGGGGTGTCCATGCTGGGTTTCTGAAGTCCCTGCCGCTGTCTGACTCGGTCTCCACCACCCTGCAGCGGAAGGCGCAGATCACGTGCACGGCCATCTTCATCGTGTGGGGCGTCCTGGTCCACCTGGTGATCCCGCCCTTCGTGTTCATGGTGACCGAGGAGTGGGACTACATTGGTGGCCTCTACTACTCCTTCATCACCATCTCCACCATCGGCTTTGGTGACTTTGTGGCTGGTGAGTCCCTGTTCCCTCTCCCTCGCCTCCATCTCCCCACCTTCTCTTCTGCTCCTTCTCCAGTTTCAACCCAGCAGCCTTTTGCGGGTGTCCGGGTGGCTGTCCTCTCCTGGCTCCTCGCTGTCTCCCCAACTCAGAGCTCTGGTTCACTTGGGGCTGGGAGGAGGGCCTGCGCCTGCAGGGTTGGGCTCTTACCCAGAGAGCCTGGCCCTGTCCCATCGAGGCACCGCCTGCTGTCAGTCACCAGAGCAGAGGGCGCTGTCTTCAAGCTTTGGCTCAGAGGCCAACTCTGCTCTTGCCACAGGCTACTAAAGACAAGGCAGGCCTTCTCCTCACCGCCCTGCCCCCTGAGCCCTCGCATTCCCCTCCTCCTCCTCTACTTAATCCCTGGAGGAGAGGAAAGGCAAGGAGATTCTTTAGCCCCTTTGTCTGGAGGCCTGCAACCAACACTCAAGCTCTTGTGCCTGTGGCCTGCACAGCCTCTTGGTTCTTAATCTTCTTGACACCCTGCTAGTGTCTGTTCCCTCTATGCCTGTGCCCTGCCCAGCTGACCTCCACCTCTACTCCAGGGCCTCTGGACTTTACCCCAACTCCCCACCCAAAGGGCAGGGGCAGGTCACCCCCTCTGCCCCACTGCATGTGGAATGTGGGGAGGGGGCAGCTGAGTGGGTGGGAGGAACAGGAAGGCCAGTGCGAACACTCCACTGACCCCGGCTACTCTGAGCCTGCCTGCTGTCTTGGAGATAAATGTAAAGGCACAACCCTGCCATTGTCTAGCCCTGGGGCCCAGAGCAGGCTGAGGGGGAACCTTTGAATTAGGGATGGCCAGTGGCTGCTGAACCACTCCTCCCGGCTCCTGCAAGGCAACAAATCTGTTTCTTACCTGTAAAATTGGTTAAAATAATAATAATAATAATTATTATTATTATCATCATTATTATTATTAAAATAATGTCCACCACACACGATGTGAAAAATAGACATGTCTGTTCCTGAGTGCATCACTCATCACTGTCACTAGCATACTCTGCTCAGGATCAGGAGCCTTCAGCAAGACTGACAGCACCCTGCAGACAGAACACCTCCTGAGACCCAGCCCTGCCTGACCCCCTGGGAGGAGCCTAATCTGATGCCAGAGGTCACTCTCTCCTGCAGTCCCTTCTCTTGAGCTCCTCCCAGCCTGAGGGAGGAGGTAGGATAGAGATTGACACAGTTGCAAGTGCTAATTCAGGGAAGAAATCTCAATCTTAGAGTCATCAGAATTCCGGGGGTGACCCAGGAAGGCTCCTGCAGCTGGCACCAGGAACCCGGTCTGAGAGGAGGGGGACGAGGAGTGGGCAGAGCCCTCCAGGCCCCGGGACAGCCAGTGTCGAGAAAGGCAGAAACAGGAAGTTGGAGGCAGACCAGGCCCAAAGGAGAACAGTGCTGGGTCTGGGTCATCTCAGCGCAGCCACCAGCCTCACTCATGGTGAAGCAGCAAGTCCCTCCTCTGTGTGGAGGCTGCTAGTGCCTGTCGTGCAGGTTCCGTCCTGTTTTTAACTGAGCGGTCACAGACACACTCCAGCTGGGTCCAGCAGAGTGCCTCACTGAAGGCACCCGGGAGCTGTTTCTTTTCTTTCTTTGTTTTTTTTGGCACCAGGGATTGAACCCCGGGGTGTTTAACCGCTGAGCTACATCCCTAGCGGGGATAAATATTTATTTATATATATATTTATATTTAAATATATATTTAAATATTTATTTTTTAGTTGTAGTTGGACACAATACCTTTATTTGATTTATTTTTATGTGGTGCTGGGGATCGAACCCAGGGCCTCGCACGTGCTAGGCGAGCGTCCTACCACTGAGCCTCAACCCCAGCCCTACGTCCCTAGCCCCTTTATGTTTCATTTTGAGCAGGGTCTTACTGAGTTGCTTGGGGCCTTGCTAAGTGCTGAGGCTGGCCTGAAACTTTGAGATGATCCTCCTGCCTCAGCCTCCCGAGTTGCTGGGATTACAGCCGTGGGCCACCACTCCCAGCTGTGAGCTGTTTCTTGACTCATGTGTTGGTTACTTACTACAACAGAACCCTAAAACTTCTTTATTCCCCCTCACCCATAAGGTAACCACCGTCCTGACTTTTTTTTCCCAAGACAAGTTTTCCCTAGATTGCTGAGAGTCTTGCTAGGTTGCTGAGGCTGGCATTCAAACTTCAATCCTCCTGCCTCATCCTCCCGAGCGGCTGGTATCGTAGGTATGCGCCACCGCGCCCTCTTATCTTGACTTTTTCTAAGTGAGCACACTGGGGCTCAGAGAAGGGCTGGGAGGGGACATGAGCAATGTGGCCAAGGTTCTTCAGGAAGAAGATGGATGAGGGTAGCCCAGAGTCTGGGACAGCCCATTTCTTTTACACTATGTCACCCCCACCCCCACCACCACACACACCCTGTTGTAGCATGACACTGGCTCAGACAGCACGGCTCTGGCCATTACATGTCCCTGCTGACCCTTTATGACCCTCTGGACTTCCCCTCCCCTCAGGTGTGAACCCCAGTGCCAACTACCACGCCTTGTACCGGTACTTTGTGGAGCTCTGGATCTACCTGGGGCTGGCCTGGCTGTCCCTCTTTGTCAACTGGAAGGTGAGCATGTTTGTGGAGGTCCACAAAGCCATTAAGAAGAGGCGGAGACGGCGGAAGGAGTCCTTCGAGAGCTCCCCACACTCCCGGAAGGCCCTGGGGATGGCAGGCAGCACGGCCTCCAAGGACGTCAACATCTTCAGCTTTCTGTCCAAAAAGGAAGAGACCTACAATGACCTCATCAAGCAGATTGGGAAGAAGGCCATGAAAACAAGTGGGGGTGGGGAGAGGGTCCCAGGACCTGGGCTGGGGCCTCAGGGGGCTGGGCTGCCCGCGCTCCCCGCCTCCCGGACATCCTTGGTGGTCTACTCCAAGAACTGCGCGCCCAGCTTGGAAGAGGTGTCACAGACGCTCAGGAGCAAAGGGCACGTGTCGAGGCCCCCTGGAGAGGAGGACCAGCCGCAGGCCCCCGAGGACAGCTCCCCGACCTCCGAGGTGTTCATCAACCAACTGGACCGCATCAGCGAGGAGGACGAGCCCTGGGGGGCCCGGGACTACCACCCACTCATCTTCCAGAACGCCAGCATTGCCTTTGTGAACGAGGAGGCCAGCCTCCTGGACGAGGAGACCTCTAAGTCCTCTCTGGAGGACAACCTGGTGGGGGAGGAGCAGCCCCAGGAGGGGGACGCCACCCAGGTGCCCCTGAACATGGGCAAGTTCCCCTCGTCAGATGAGTCCACCTTCACCAGCACCGAGTCAGAGCTTTCCGTGCCTTACGAGCAGCTGATGAACGAGTACAATAAGGCAAACAGCCCCAAAGGCACCTGAGGCGGGCCGGCTCCTCACCCCACCTTTGATGGCTCTTCCCTTCACCCCGGGGTGTCCCGCGGTGGCCAAGAGCCCGGGCTCCTGATCGGGCAGCCCTGCAGCTGGGAGTGGGGAGCCAGGGGCCTTCCTTTTCCTCTGTCCCCTCCAGCTGGTTGCCCCGATGGAACATGGCACATGCCCAGGACAGGGTCTCTGCTCTCTGCTGAGCAGCACCCTAGTGTGGGGAGGCCACTGTCCTGAGCGTGAACGGTGTTATTGATGACTGGGAGGCATGTGGGCTGGCAGCACTGACCCGAGGAGGCCCACGCCTGCATGGGTCTTAGCCTGTCTTCAATTGAGCGTCATACGGTTCCCTGAGGCCAGTGGCCTCGGCCATTTGAGTTCACCAGTATTAAGGAACAATTTCTATGTGCCTGGCGCTGAGCTAGGAGTTTCAGAGAGGGGAGGGCCTGTAGACCGGGGTTCTGCCTTGTTGAGTACTTAAGTGTTTGGGAGGTTCAGCTGTGATGTTGAGGTCTGGGCTTCTCAGTACCCCAACAGTATTAGGACCCATCTCCCCATCTACCTGTGGATGTCCTTCAGGCCCCCACTGCAAAACCTCAGGAGGGCAGAGGCCACAGCGGGAGGGGAGCTGAGCTGATAGGCAGGAAATGAAGCACCCCAAAGCCAGCATGGGCCCAGGGGCCTGCCCTCTTGCCCCAGAGCCATGTCCCTGTCTCAGGCCTTCAGCCCACCAATGGCAGACAAGGCTTTCTGCACCCTAAGTGGTGGGAGGAAGAGAGGGTGGCGGACCTGGGCCGTGGAAGCTGGGGACAGGGGTCTACAAGGGCGTTCAAGGGTGAGGCTTAGCTCGGGCTAATTCTGCCCTCGCCCCTCTCGCCCACTACTTCCCCCCAAAGTTGCATGCCCCTGGCCTGAGTACCCACACTCCCATCCTGCTGTCTCCACATCCCCTAGGCTCGGTCACAGATCTTGCTGCCCCTCTCACAGACCGCCTCACCTGGACCCACCACTCCTCCCCACCCCGGGGCCAGGGCATGAGGCTAGATTGCTCGTGGCCCACCAATGGAGAATGGCCAAAACTGTGAATTGAGCTCCTCTCTCTGCTACTGTATGGCTTGAGTGCGTGTGTGCGTGACGTGTGGGAAAGGGAGGCCTCTGGGCTGAGAAGAGAGAATGCAAAACCGTACGTGGACTCCGTTTCTTTCTGGTGAGGGGTGGGTAGAACTCGCTGCTGCCTGAGTTTGGGGTTTTGATGATGCGCACCCCAGGACCAGCCCACTCTGCCCTGAATGTTTTTGTTATTGTTCTTCTTCTTCTTTTTTTTTTAATGAACTGCTGTTTTATATACCTGGAATCTGTTTGCTTTAGAGCCAGTGGTTAAAGAGCAGGGTCCCAAGGATGGGGACATCCACTGTGTACCCTGCTGCACCCCAACTCAACTGAGACTTTTGTGATGTAAGCCGAAGTCCTATCAAGAGCCAAGTCCCCAAGCAGAGTTGATGGCAGGGAGCAAGGGTAGAGAAGGGTGTCCTGCAGGTGGCTGGGTGCTGGGCAGGAGGGACAGGAGCCCAGTCACAGCCCAACACCCTCTGACGCTCAGCCCCGCCCTCCCTCGCACCTCTGCTCAGGGGCCGATTGAGCTAGAGGGTCCCTCCCTGCCATGTGGAGCTGGCAGGGGGCATGTGCACGCCCCACTCGCCCCACTCACTCTGAACGGTTGCAGTGGCCAGCGGGGGGGGGGGGGGGGGGGGGGGGGAAGGAGCAGCCTGTGTTCTGCGCAGGGTTCCATGAGCTCATCTCGTTGCCGACTCCTGGAATCACACACTGTGTGTACATACTGGTTATGATGGCAAATGTAATTTATTTTAACATTTTTACAATAAAATCTATGGACAGGCCAGCTTGCTGTGTACTGGGGAGGGAGGGAGGCAGGGTGGAAAGGGAACTGGTGTGTGGCCTTTAGGGAAGGGGGCTCACTGGGAGGGCAGAGAGGACTCAGGACAGGCTGCCTCCAAGAGGACTGGTGCAGTCTGAAAGGGAGAGAAGAACGAGGAGGGGATAGAGAGGAGGCAGGCCTCGGGGTGAGGCTGGGGAGGAGCCCAAGGAGCAGGGGACAGGGAGGTGGAGGGCCAGACACCATCCCATCCTGTTTACTGGCTTCACACCCAGTGAAGCTTGAGAGAATGACATTGCAACAGCCCCATCAGGTGGGGATTCCACCCACTGCCGTAAAACACACCCCATCAAGGTGGCCGCACAAACAGCCCTACCAGCCCGGCGGCCTGGGTAGGAATCCGAGCTCCGCATTTCTCCTGGGATTTTGCACAGGACAACTTCTCTGTGCTGTTTTCCTCACCAGCCAGTTCAGGGAAGAACCACATTTTCCACGAGGGGATGGATGTGTCTACGAGGGATCACCTCCACAGTTTCCATGTCCACGGGTTCCACCCACCGCCACTTAACACTACTCAAGGAAAAACGTGTCCTGTAGTTGCTGCCCCACACAGATCTTAGATGGGAGAGTGGGCACTGAACACACTCATTGTGCGTGAACCACACAGTAGAGCAACTACCACAAGTAGGTACACTGTATTAGGTATTTGAAATAACCCAGATATCAGGTTAAGCCATGTGGGAGCGTGTGCCCACGTTCTGTGCAAATACATGCCATTTTGTGTAGGGGACTTGAGCCTCCCCAGATTTCAGTACTGGGGAGAGAGCCTGGAGTCACCCCTGACAGATGCAGCGGCTGGGCTGCACTTGGTCCCATCCTTCCCTTTTTGCCAGCACCTCTCCCCCATCTCTGTCACATACACATGATCAGGGTTCTCTGGTTTTACTTGACCCCCCACTCTGTCTTGAGTTGACAGTTGCATATCACTAAACATTGACACTGGGCCATGTCACAAAACCCCTGACCCGTACAGCTCAGCACCCCTACAACAGGCCCCTGGGCCCATCTGCAGAGTGGAGACGGAAGCCAGGGCAGCCAGGCTGTGCACCTTTGCCGGGTTCCCAGCTTGCAGGCTTCTGTTTGAATGACAAAGTACCAATGGTGGGCGAGCTGTGGTCTTGGGCTCCTGTGGCCAAGCTTCACCTGGAGCTGTCTGAGGAGGTGGAAGGTCGGGGAGGCAGGACTTCAGCTGCAGCTAGCTGGGCCAGGAGACCCCAAGTTCCTGAAGTCTTGGGCAGAGGAGGGGTGCCCCGCAGGGCCATGGGGGACAGCACAGTGCCATTGTGCTGTGGGGTGGACGGGAGGCCGGGGAGGTGGTGAGCAGGCAGTTGGGATGTCACTGGACACCCTGGCAGGGGATGACCCCTGTGAGTCCGAGAGTCCTGGAGGAGCGAGCCCTGTAGACTCGCTGGGGTCCTCACATGGAGTCCCCGAGGCACCGCTCCTAGTCCAGTAGGACCATCCCAGCAGCCCAGCCCCGACCCAGCTGGGTCACCGGCCTCCAGAGGCCTCCTGCCCCAGTGGTCAACTAGCGCTCTGCTCTCCGCCAGCACCGCTGCACTGACCACTCACGTCTTCCACCAGTGTCGACTGGGCCCTAGCGCCCACAGGAGTGGAGCACTGTGAGGGGACAACTCCCTGCATGTAGGGGCCAGCCCGCTCCTTCTTTTTGATTGATTGAATCCTGGGGTGCTTCACCACGGAGCCACATCCACAGCCCTATTTTGTATTTTATTTAGAGACAGGGTCTCCCTGAGTTGCTTAGCACCTTGCTTTGGCTGAGGCTGGCTTTGAACTCAAGATCCTCCTGCCTCAGCCTCCCGAGCCCCTGTGATCACAGGCGTGGGCCACTGTGCCCAGCCCCCTCCTGTCGCTCCCTTCTTCATGGTTGTGCTTGGTATTGACGTCCTGTCCACATTTCCCACGTCTTTTCATGTTTCTCTTATCTTTATGTCTTTTAATTCTCAAAACCAGCATTATTATTAACCCGTTCCATGATTTGGAAGTAAACAGAGGATGTTCCCCAAGTTCAAACAACAATGAGGTGGCAGAAAACAGCCTCCTGGACTTACATTCCTCCCTTCCACTACCTTCTGGCAGTTCCTAATCTGATGGGGGAGACACCCTCAGAACCCAAAGTCTGGTGGAGGCGGGAGGCAGCTCCAAGCCTCGTCCTTGCGCGGGACAGGAGCCCAGAAAGTGACCGAAGCAATGGTGGCTGATGCTAATCTTGCCCACCCCTGTCCAGTGACACCCAGACAGCCGGGTTTTTCTTAGTCTTGGTGTGGTGACTCCTGCAGCTCAAAGAGGAAGTCGGAGGTGCAATTGGGACACTGTTGGGTGCTCTTTCTGGAGCCTGGGGTGGAATGGCGGTAGCAGGGAGTGGGAAAGCTGAGCTGCCCTGCTCTGGAAGGGACTCTATAAAGTCTGCTCCCTAAGGTCCCTTGAGGTGTGGTCTCAGCTCTCCATTCTGGAATAATAGGATTCCCGGCCGGGGGTGTAGCTCAGTGGTAGTGTGTTTGCCTGGCACGTGTGAGGCCCTGGGTTTGATCCTCAACACCACATAAAAATTAATAAAGGTATTGTGTATGTCAACTTAAAAAATAATAATAAAAAAATAATAGGATCCCAATTTCCAGATTCATGCAAGACTGACCCAGAAACCAGAAGCCAATTTGTGAAAGGCCAAGATCTGTTTAGAGAAGGCAGTAGGATCCCCTCCTTGAGATCTCTGTCCCTTCTATCCATCCCGGTCCCCCTCACCAAAGTCCAGACCACTGCAGCCCCTCACCTGGATCCCTGCCACACCATGGCGCCTGGGGCCAGGTATGGGCTCCCCAGGTTGAGTGGATGAATGAGTCCCCTTCATTTGTCTCGCTGACTCCCCTTCCACCCACCCATATCAGCAACCTCCAGGATCCATCCTCCACCCAGACCTGACCCCCTTCCTTTCCTGCTTTCACCTCCCTTAGAGAACCCTCACTTCCTGTCTTGGGTTTGCTCCAGTCTCCTTGGTCAGCCCCTCGCCCACCCCGTGGGCTCCAGCCACTTTGCCCAGGTGGTCTCAGATGCCTGGATGACCTTCCCGATGGCATCCACTGTGGACATCAGCTTCCCTGGGAAGCTCCCCACAATCACTAAACCTGAGCTATGTGGGCTCCTGGGTTCTAGGCCAGGTGCCCGGTGGGGCTGAGCTCCTCCCTCTGTGAGCTGCCTCTGTCCAGCTGCTCGGACGTGGTTCAAGTCCCCTGTCTCCTGGTTTTTTCCCCTTGCCTGGCTGGAAGCCACTGGAAGCAACAGGGAGAGGTTTGTTCCACCTTTGCATTCGCACCCTGGGGCCTGCATGGAGAAGGGCTCAGCTTTCCATGTTTACAAAATGCAGGGTGCACCCCTAAGTCCCCGCCCCTCCCATCAGCAGTCAGTCCCTCTGTTCCTGGAGCAGAGGCCAAGTCAGAGGGCAAGGCTCGTTTCATGAGGCCAAGGGCGAGTCCCAGCAAAGCCAGGTGGATGATCTTGAGGGACCTTGGAGGTTGAGGTGACCTGGTGAGTCACCTCATCTTGTGCCAAGTCACCTGAATCTGGAGGCAGGACAGGGACATGGCACACCTTACCTCAAGAAGCAAGTGGCCTGCATTCTCTTGTGTTCCCCTCACCCCCTGTCTTCACCTGGCACCGTTCCCAAATGATGGGGGAAGAGGGGCCCCGGGGCCCTCAGCTCCCCGATGCCCATGCTTTCCGGGGGAACACTTCGGCTCCCAGTGACCCCGCACGCCAGCACCAGCCTCCCAGTTTACAAAGCCCTTTCACACCCATTCCTGTGTGGGATTACTCAACCGCCCCAGGAGCCAGGTGTAATATTTTACAGCTCAATTTAAGGGCCTTTTTCAAATGCGGAAACCCAGGGTTGAGGTTTGGTTTCTTCAGAACAAAACCTAAGGCTAGATCTGGAGGATGGATGGAAGAAGTAGAGGGAGGTGAAGATGGACAGGGGAAAGAAGGAAAGGCAACAAAGATGGGCGCTGGAGCTGACTGCACTGTGGGCGGCCGGGTGCCATCCTGCAGGACCCTTCTGTGCCCCCTGTGCCATACCCCTTAGAATTATCTCTGAGGAGGAGATTTCTTTCTTTATCCATCAGTTCCTGCACTTAGTCCTTAAGAATTCCTCCAGGGACATTGATCCCTACCTTCCTCCTATTCACACCAGATGTGGTGTGCTACACAGCCCAAAGATGTCCAAGACAGATCTTCCTTTTCACCATCCCATCAGCAAAGTGACCCGCAGCTCCAACCGGAGGTGGAGTCCATTCCCTTGAATGCAGGCTGGCTCTGGGACATTTTGATCAATAAAATATGGTAGAAATGACCTTTTGCCATTTCAGGGGAAGGGGATGCTGGGGATTAAAAAAAAAATCTCCCAAATGAACTCAGGGGCACTCAACCACTGAGTCACATCCCCAGCCCTTTTTTGTATTTTATTTAGACACAGGATCTCGCTGAGTTGCTTAGTGCTTCACTAAGTTGCTGAGGCTGGCTTTGAACTTGCTATCCTCCTGCCTCAGCCTCCACACCTGGCACAAGGAACACCTATTATCCTGAGACCAAAGCTCTGACCTCAGACACCACGAGAGCGCAGCTGAGACCCAATGTCACCAGGTCCGTAACTCCCCAATGAAGGTCACTTTTTTTTAGGTGTAGATGGACACAGCATAATGCCTTTATTTTTATATGGTGCTGAGGATCGAACCCTGGTCCCGCCCATGCTAGGCAAGCACTCTACCGCTGAGCCACAATCC